TATCTTTCACAGAAAATGAGATATATAGGCTCAAAGTGGACGATCCGGGTGTCGTTCTATTAGAGGTTTTACGGTATGTGCCAATTATTGCTCTCGCGACAAGCCAATTGTAGGAGATTTGCTCGCGATAGGCCGAATATTGGTCGTTTGCGGTGGCGCGTTCGCGATTGGTCTGTAAATGGCCTGCGGCAGGCATGTTCCGATGTACCCATGGCGACTTTCCGCGAACAATATTTCACCTATTATAGACGCTGCGCGAATCACCTGTGTAACGCACACCACATCCCCGAAACCACGCAGCCCACTTTGGTCTATGCGTCGGAAGGTGGATAAGTGTGTGCCGCTTTTGAAGCTCTAATGGGAGGGGGGAGAGGGGCCGGTGGGAATTTTCAAAAAATGCAAAAGTTTGAAATTCTGAATTCTTCAGAATTCTGAGAATTCAGAAGTTCTAACTAACAAAGCAAGAAGAAAACAGGGAAAAAGGAAAATGCCGTTTCCTCAAATTAGGCAACTTTTCCTCACTTTCTTTTGTCCCCAAGTTCTTATCAGAACACCCCCAAATCATTAGAATTATAGTGATTTGGGTAAAAGGAATAAAGAACGAATTCAGAAGACGTGAAGGGGACGTCTTCTGAGAAAGGAAAAGAAGAGATAAGAATCAGATGGCAAAACGAAGGATTAGCAATTTGAAGAGGAAAAGTGCAAAGAAGAAGATTAGAGGCAATATGGAGTTTTAAAAGTTTGAAAAAGGAGACATCTTGCCATTTTGGCATTTTGAAGCATGAAAAACTATTCAGAAACCAGAAAAAAAACCTTCGAAAATCACTAAAAGAAACTCAAAAATAGTAGTTTTCGAAAAGTTGTGCCGTATGGCTCAGTGGGTTTTGGCACCAAAAGCTATGGTCCACAAGGCCAAAAGTTCAATTTCTTCTGGGTGCAAAACTTTTTAATTTTTGTGTGGACCTCGAAAATCGCAGTTTTAGGCTCATTTGAGGTGTGAAACGGACAATTTTAGAGTTTTTTTTTCTAATTTCAAAAAATTAAAATTTTTCAGACTTGAATTTTTGGCTGCAAATAGCTATTTTGGCATTTCTATTCATAAAAAAACAATTTTTAACCACAAAAAACGTTTGGAAACCACTAAAAAAACTCAAAAACGACCATTTTCGATAAGTGTGTCAAGTGGCTCAGTGGGTCTTGGCACCAAAATTCTACGGTCCACAAGGGCAAAAGTTCAATTCCTTCTGGCGTCAAAGCTTTTTTATTTTGGTGTGGACCTCGAAAATCGCAGTTTTAGGCTCTTTCAAAATGTAGAAAGTACTGTTTTAGAAAAAAATGTTTTTTTTTTAATTCCAAAATTTTCGAACTTTTCTCCTTCCTAAAGTAACCAGTCTCCTAAGAAAGAGACAGATTGTCTACTTCAAAGTGAGAAGATTTCGAAAAAAAAAGAGAGAATTCCAACTTTCTCTCTCTTCATGTTATATACAAAATGGATATATAGTTTCCATTCCATTAGCTTCAAAAAGCCTGAAAAAAAAGACTTGGAAGGAATTTTCTGTGTGTTTTCTGGCGGAAAGGTCAAATTAGACTAGATGTGTTTAGCTAGAGGTTGCTGTAGGCTTGTCGGACCAAAGAAATGGCCAAAAACGGGTAAAAAAGTCCCGGACCATAACTTCTTCCAAACTTTGAATTTTTTACTGAACTAAAATGAGTTTCAAGAACTTTAAATGTTCTACAAAATGATATAACTTTCAAATTTGTAGCTTAACTACGTAAAAAGTTATAAGCCAAAAACATTGAGCTACACGGTCGACTACCACCCTGACGGTCCTATTGGTGGCCTAGAAAACCCAAGAAAAAACTAGACCACGACACCATCTAGGGTGGTCGTATTTTCCTTATGCAAATATTAGTAATCATGCATACATGAATTTTGCCCTCTTATTCCAATTCACTAACAATAATTCTAATTCTCTTCTCAAGTGATTCTTCAAGGTTATGCCTTATGGGGAGGGGTTCTGTACGAAAGTGGGTAAAAGTAAATGTGAAATAGTTCGAAACAGAGGAAAAAAAATACAAAAAATAGTTTTAGAAAGTTATCAGAAAAACGTTTTCCATAAAATATGCTCAAAAAACGAAACATACCGTAACCCGATAGTGTTGCTCAGGTGGTAAGAGCCGACACTCTAACTTTGACCCTATTTTTCTCGGTTACTGTAAGAGATATCGAAAAGTTGTCAGCTAATAAAATGTTACTGATATTATGATGAACATTTTATTAGTTTACAACTTTTTCATATCTGTTACAGTAACCGAGATAAATTGGATGGAAGTTATGGGTGGGTCGGCAGCGGGCCATGTCGGGCATGCGGCAGCATTCGACTACCAAACTTTGACTCAATTTATCTTGGTTACTATAGAAGATATTAAAAAGTAGCCAATTGATAAAATGTTACTGATAAAATAATAAATAATTTATCAGTTGACAATTTTAAATTTTTTTCCAGTAACCAAGATAAATTGAATCAAAGTTGAAAGTCTGGGAGGCCAGGGGAGTTCAAAGGCGCAAGGACCCCATTCGAAGGGACATAGTCGCATGGTATATCATTTTGAAGCTACTGATAAGGACAACAAGAATATCTCCATGAAATGCAAAAAAGATAAAAATCAAGAAGTTAGAATGGTCCGAAACCTCAAAATTGTTCAGCAAAATTAGTGGGAATTGAACAATTAAAAGAATTGGACCCAGAAAAGTCTTCAAGAGATCTTTAAAGTCCTACACGGTCAAAAAATGTTTTTTCCCTCATTTTTATTTGTTTCCTTCTGCTTCATCGAGCATATAATACGGTACATACCCCCCGAATAACCTCTCCTCCTCCTAACCTAATTACCCTTGGCTACTAATTAGTATAGGATAATTACTGTAGAAGAAGAAATAAAAAGAAAGTGGTGTAGATTACTGAGAACACATGTGAATGGAAAAAAAAACACAAAAAATGTTATTGTAACGGTTTTTTGTGTTTGTGTCAATCGAGAATACCAGGGGGATTAACCTTCCCATAATCCCTATATGTTTGGGTTTTTATGTAATCCTAAAAGGGAAAAAATAAAGGTTGCTTTGAAAATGGACGTATTGTTACAAATCAAATATAGAGCTACATTTTTGTATTTTACAACTTTTTTCTAGCTACCGTAGTTTTTGTGATATGCGCCGTTAAAATTCGGATGCGCTGAACAGGGGAGCTCCTAACTTTAAAGGTGCATAACTCAAAAACTACAGTAGCTAGTGGAAAATTGTTAAATATTAAAATATAGATCTATTTTTGCTTGACATTCCGTCAGTAAACAATATTTTTAAGCTACTGTAGTCAGAAAAGAAGAAAGCCGGTGTGACTAAGAATGGTAATGTTTCATGAACTCTTTTTTCGGTTATTTCAGATTTTTAATAAAATTCTAGATGTGCTTGACAAATACATGACCGCTGTCTATGGATGCAGCATTCCAATGCTTCTTCTTACACTCCTGGTCACATTGCTCATTTTTCGAATTGCATTTTACTACTATAAAAATCGCTGAAACTTTATATTCAATTTTTTAATCAATAATAAACTATTTTAATCTCCTGTTTTATTTTTTTTTCCGTTGATGTTGCACTTGCCGAAAAATAGGTTCGAGATAAACAAAAACTGGCAACTTTGGTGTTTAAAAAACTCAATTTCTGTCTATCTGATCTGAAATTTTCAAAGATTATAGAATATTTCTAGAACTCTATTTTCATAGTTCACAACATTTTTAAAGTACCGTAGTTCTAGAGATATGCGCCTTTAAAGTTAGGATGCGGTATTCTAAACATGTGAACTCCGCTGCGCACTCCTACTTTAAAGGCGCATAGCTCAAAAACTACGATACCTAGAAAAGTTGTAAACTATAAAAATATTGATCTAGATTTGTTCTATAATCTCCTAAAGTTTCAGACCGATTGGGAAAAGTTCTAATAACTTTTACAGGACAAAAGAGCATTTAAGCGTTTTTAATTTATTATTTACTACATTGAAAATTGAGTTTCAGCGATTTTTTTAGTAGTAGAACGTCATCCGAAAAATGAGGAGAGTGACCAGAATTGTAAGAAGAAGCATGGGAACGCTGCATCTATAATAACTGGTCTCGAGTTTGTGAAAAACCTCATAACCTTCTGTAAAAATGGAAACTAAGACGTCTTCACATGTCTAAACTCATTACTATCTTCGTAACTTTGGCCTCTTCCAGCTGCCACTTCATCAAATGCATTTTTAGCTTTTGACATGCCAACGGCAAATTGAATGATGTAGACAAAGATGTAGATGCTGAAAGCAATCTGAAATAACAAAGAAACTTCGAAAAGTTAATTTTAAAGGAGCAGGAACGCTATCGGGATTTTTTGGGGCGAGAGTATGGATATTTTCCAATTTTTGAAAACAGTCAAATTCTTAACCAAAGAAATTGACATAGAATTTTCTACAGTTCAATTTCTGCTTGACGTCTTTAGCTCCATTTTGAAGCGAGCTCTTGAAGATTCCGAAAGACTCAGAGAAGCTGGAGTGTCTGCTTTTCTTAGTATCTCTTTCATAATCAAAAACAACCTAGAAACGTGATTTATGACGAGTTTTAAAGGTGAAAAATCGGAAAAAATACCCAGTAACACAAGTGAATTGCAAAACTGATGATATTCGAGAAGTACTCGGGAAGGAAGATGATCAATCCAATCGACAGTGTCGAGGACACGGACCAGACAAAATAATCCCACATGAGTGGAAAAGTTATCCACAGAACGATTGATAATATAACGATAAGAACGGACATTCCAGCCATGTAGTAAATTGTTGGAAATAAGAGAAGGACCTCCATCGGTTCGGCGGCAAATTCAAATCCTGCTCGTTTTCGTTGCTCATCGCTCTTCGTCCATACTTCTGAATCCTTTTCAGGTCTCATCTCCGCGGAACAAAACGCTTTGAAGCGCTCCGCGGAACAAAACGCTTGAACCGCTTGCAGCTCAAACTATTAGCTGATGTAAGCGTGATCTGGGATTACTGTAATTTCCTTAAATTACCTTGTTGATTCAATAGATGCAAGTGCAGTCGACTTTTCAAAACTGAAATCTTTTCAAGATCTCGCTGATCAGCTCAACGTGGAACTAGTTTTTCTGCTAGATTTTTTTGGAAGAAACCACGAAAATTGAAAAAAAATGTGTCAAACGCCAAACTTTTTTCTTAACACTCTGCATAGCTCAAAAACTACGGTAGTTGGAAAAACCTTGAAGCCTGTAATAGAAGGAATGAATTTTTTGAATTTGAACCTATATAACTCCGTTCCTGTAAAAGATTTGAAAAAGTTGTCAACTGATAAAATGTTTTTCATGATATCAGTAACATTTTATTAATTAGCAATTTTTTGATATCTCCTACAGTAACCGAGAAAAATTTGGTTAAACTTGAAAAGTTGGCGTTTTCATGCATCGTCTGACTGCCTCTTAACTTTGACCCACTCGGTAAATGTGGGCAACTTCTTCCCCAACTTTGGGCAGCTATTGTCCTAACTCCAGGCAACTTCTAGCATTTCATAGGTCAAACGCTGCCCAGCTTTAGGAGAGCTTCTACCCAGCGTTTGCCCACTTGTAGACAGCCCGCTCTGGCCCCTTCCCTTCCCGCTGTTCCCCTTCTTCCAGAATGTAAATGCGGGGGTCGTAATCAGCAACATGTGATACTGCATATTCAACGTCTGAATTACATACAGTTACAGACAACGCGTCTACAAAACTTTCGCTTCTACAACGCTTACAAATTTGAACTGAAACTAACTGAAGATGTCCATCGTCGGCTCGTTTGCGTCTTCAGGACCACTACTCTCAAACGCTTCATCCTCTTCCATTACATCGTCCTTTAAATCGTTCGTAATTGGGTTGTCATAAATTTCTTCTTTTTCAAGTTGACTGTTCCGTTTCGTCGGAGGTTCTAAAATTGAGTCAATGTGAGCCTTAATTTAGAAAAAAAATCATACCTCCTGGGTGGGATACTTCTGATGGGATTTCGTAGATTTCTCCTCTTGCCATCTGATATTCCATCTCTTAAAATGAAACATGGCAAAACTCATCCTTTTCTATGCTCACCAATGGCTTCCCGTTTTTTGTTCGCTTCACCCGATTCCACTCATCGATGACACTAATCGATGACACCTACTGTTCTCTCGTTGAAAACTGATAAAAGGATAAGAAACTGACAGTATTTGAAAAAAATTCAGAGATAATCGTAAGCAAATTCATAGAAAACGTATGAAAAATATGTTTAAAACTTATAACCGTAAAAAATGTTGCATCATCGCAACCTTCTGAGCTTCTGCCCAGCGTCTGCCCAGCCGTTGCCTTTCTGCACGCCGTTGGACTATTGCTCAACTTCTGCCCAGCCTTGGATCAAAGTCTGCCGGTCTTCACCTAACTTCTGCCCCAAAGTTGCCCACATTTACCGAGCAGTTAATCTCAACTCCTGTAACAGATATCGAAAAGTGGTCAACTGACAAAATAATCATCATAATGTCAGTAACATCTTATCAGTTGACACATTATCTTTATTAGGTTATGTGAACTTCGTTTTTTGCCAAGTACTGTGTTTAAAAAAAAACAAATAAAAGGATAGATTGTAAACTTAATAATTTATTCACAAAAAACAACAATCAAAATTCAGCGATTTTTGTAGCAATAAAATGTCATTCGAAAAATGAGAAGAGCGACCAGAAGCGTAAGCAGAAGCATGGTAATAGTGATTCCAAAGAAAGGGGTCAACCATCTGTTTACTGTAAGATGAAACTTAAAAGCTGCAAATATCTTAATTTATTACCTTCTGCTACAACTGGGGCGCCATCTCCTACAATTTCTGCAAGTGAGTCTCTGACGTTTGATATTCGAACACCATAAACAATGATTATAACCACGTTATAGATGAAGAAAGAAATCTGAAAGAACGAAAACTTTAAAAAGGTAATTTTATAAGAAGAGGGGGACTCAAAACAAATGAAGTTCTTGAAGTTTCGGTCATGTAAGCCCCTCGAGGATTAGAACTTTCCAGCTCATCTACATTGAGCTCATTTATATGGATTCCTGTGAAATTTTTCAAAATTTAGACGACTGATAAAATGTTACTGACAGTATGGTAAATAATTTATCAGTTGACAGGTTTTTGATATCTCTCAAAAGAATCGAGATAATTGAGCTCAAAGTTGTAGAGGAAATACGGTAATTACCCAGAAACAAAAGTGAACTGCAATGTTGTAGAAATTTGTGAAGTATTCAGGAAAAATATCATTAATCCAATCCATAAAGCAGAGAACATGGACCAGGCGAAATATTGCCAGAAATATTTGAGAACAACCCATAAGACAATTGATAAAATGACAATGATAACTGCCATCCCAACCATGTAGTAAATTGCTGGTAAGAAGAGAATGATCTCTTTCGGATCGGCGGCAAATTCAAACCCTGCTCTTTTCCGTTTCTCATCGCTTTTCGTACATGTTTCTGAATCTGTTCCAGATCTCACCTGGAAAAATATTGTTTTTTGGGGGATTACTGTAATTACCTTGGAGAATAAAACCATACTTAACAGGCCAGTGCCCACAAGCCTGGTCGGGCGGACCGGGCCGAGCCAAGGACTTCCAGAGCCCGGCTCAGCCAGGGCCAAGCTCGGCCAGGCTTGTGGGCCGGGCCCTAGCCTGTTAAGTATGGTTTTATTATGTTGTAGTTTTATTCTACACAGTTTTATTTGCGAGTACCGCCGAGGAAAAGGGTCCGAGTCCGGTGGTCGGCAACTTTCTTTTTTTGGGTTAATGTAACATTTTAAAGCACTTTTTATACATTTTTTGCTTAAAGTGTAAACCCAAACAATCACTGACCAGTACATCGTATGATAATAGAACCCTTATTGACCCCGAACGATAGAAATATCGTGGAACAGTGAGAGAGTGTTAGAGAAAAAGAAAAATGATAAGATAATTTTTGGGTGATAAGATTCTGATGTTCGATGTGCTCCCTACTTCATTCATTTTGTTTATTATTAGTACTAGTCACAATAGTAGTAATAGGATTATTAATTTTTAGAATTTTAGAATTTTAGAATTTTAGAATTTCAGAATTTTAGAACTTTAGAATTTTAGAATTTTAGAATTTTAGAATTTTAGAATTTTGGAATTTTAGAATTTCAGAATTTTAGAATTTCAGAATTTTAGAATTTTGGAATTTTAGAATATTGGAATTTTTGAGTTTCGGAATTTTAGAATTTTCGAATTTCTCAATTTCTCAATTTCTCAATTTCCTGGATTTTCTCAATTTCCTGGAATTTTTCAATTTCTGTATTTTTGCATGCTGGAATTCTGGAATTCTGGAATATTGGAATTCTGGAATTCTAGAATTCTAGAATTCTAGAATTCTAGAATTCTGAATTTCTGACTACTCAAAAATTTTGCTGAAAATTTAATTTTCAGAAAAATCATGATGCTGGCCGAAATGATGACTAGCGATCATCTGGAATTGCTGAAAAATCAAGAACCTCGAATTCCGCACATATTTCCAGAGGGGTGAGTTTTTTCTGAAATTTTCAGTACTTTCCTTGTAATTTTATCACAAAAATTGCAGAATAAATCTCTACTGGTCCTCGCTAAACGTTACTGGTCCTGAAACGAAATCCACAAACTTTCTAGAAAAATTTCGAAATAATGGATCAAAAAAACGAGTAAAAGAGATATTACATAACGTTTCTGGAATGGCTGAATCTGGAAAGTTATTAGCGATAATGGGAAGTAGCGGGGCTGGAAAAACTACACTTTTGAACGTTTTAACATCGAGGAGTTTGACAAATTTGGATGTTCAAGGATCCATTTTGATTGATGGGAAACGAGCGAATAGATGGAAAATTCGAGAGGTAAGAATTTTTTTTGAATTTTTGGCAAATTTGGAAAAAATGTTTCTGATTATGAAATATATATTTTTTTTTCAAAAACTCCTTTTTTATAACCTCCAGAAGCGCACGAGAGGGCGAGGAACGGGCGGTTTTGTATACGACAAGTTGCTCGCCTTTCCTTATTGGCTGTCGTGGTGTAGTGGCTAGTGCTTTATGTTTTTGCCCACGAGGTCCGGGGTTCGAGACCGGTGGGCGACAACTTTCTTTTTATTATTTTTTGAACATGTTCAAGAATTATTAAAGACATTTTTTTGGTTTTTTTGGGATTCAGAAACCCAAAAAGTTCAAAATTTTATGATTTTTGATCTAAATTTTTCGAAAGATTCTAAAATTCTGAAATTCCAATTTCCAGATGTCCGCATTTGTCCAGCAACACGATATGTTTGTTGGAACAATGACTGCTCGTGAGCATCTTCAATTCATGGCACGCCTTCGGATGGGTTCAGAATACTATTCAGAAGAAGAACGAGAATCTCGTGTGGACCAGGTTCTAACCCAAATGGGACTACAAAAGTGTGCAGATACAGTAATCGGAATTCCAAATCAATTGAAGGACTCTCATGTGGAGAGAAGAAGAGATTATCGTTTGCTTCTGAGATTCTGACATGTCCAAAAATTCTATTTTGTGATGAACCGACGTCTGGATTGGATGCTTTCATGGCTGGTACTGTTTTTAAAGGCACATATCTCAAAAACTACAGTAGCTACCAAATAAGGTGTCAATTAATAAAATTTAAAAAAACTGCATATTTTGATAATTGCAAAACGTCTATTAGCTTCGTCCATTTTGTAGATATGCGTCTTTAAAGTTGGCGCGCGCCAAACATTGGGCGGTGAAGGCCGGCTACCTTTCTTTAAAGGCGCATAACTCAAAAACCAAGTAAGCTATCAAAAAGTAGCAAATTGCAAAAATATAGAGCATAACATTTCACACATTTTGTTAGTTAAAAATAGTTTGCTATCAGTTCTGGTTCTTGAGATACATATAACGCTTTAAAGATAGCACGTCTTTCTGCAAAAGTGGAGACGCAGAGAAACGAGAGAGCTCTCGCTTCTCTTCGTCTATGCCAGCTCTCATCTCACAACACTTTGTTCAGGTCACGTCGTCCAGGCTCTTCGAAATCTTGCGGATTACGGTATGACCGTAATCATCACAATTCATCAGCCAAGTAGTCAAGTGTACTCGTTGTTCCACAAGTGAGAACATTTTTGGATAACTGTACTTTCTAAAGTAACCCTAAAATTTTCAGCGTTTGTCTAATGGCGTGTGGTCGTGTGATCTACCTGGGTCCTGGGGATCAAGCGGTGCCACTTTTTGAAAAATGCGGATTCCCATGCCCCTCCTACTATAACCCGGCCGATCATTTGATAAGGACATTGGCAGTAATTGATAGTGATAGAGCAACATCGATGAAAACGATTTCGGTAAGGATTAAAGATGCAGAGACGCAGAGAAGCGAGAGTGATCTCCTTTCTCTGCGTCTCCTCCCTTCCATGCTGCTTGGAAGGAGCGCTACCTTTAAAGACGCATAACGCAAGAATGGTGCCACCAATCAAAAAGTTGTAAATTGCAAAAATGTGTAAAACTTTATGTTCTACAGTTGTGCAGTTATTAACTTTTTAATGGCTTAAGCCGTTTTTGAGATATGCGTCGTTAAAGTTAAAACACTTCGAATGAAGTGTTTTAACTTTAACGACGGTGCTACCTCAAAGCGCACGCCAACTTTAAGGACGCATAACTCAAGAATGGTAAAAGCTATCAAAAAGTTGTAAATTGTCAAAATTGTATGTTTTATATTTTTGCAATGTAAAACTTTTGGATGAATTGCTTGCTTTTTGAGATATGCGCCTTTAAAGTTAGGGTGTCCAGAAAAGGTTAGGGGCTACACCGATGCGCGCTTTCTTCAAAGGTGCATATCTCACAAACCGTGATAGCTATCAAAAAGTTGTAAACTATGAAAATGTGTAGTTCCCAACATTTTCCAGAAAATTCGCCAAGGATTCCTGTCCACAGACCTTGGTCAATCCGTTCTAGCCATTGGAAATGCCAACAAACTCCGTGCCGCCTCTTTCGCTACAAGTAGTGACACTTCGGAGAAAACCAAGACATTTTTTAATCAGGAGTGAGTTTTTTTCTTTTTTTTAGGTGAAAAATCTGGAATTTTCAGCTACAATGCTTCATTTTTCATACAGTTCAAAGTCTTGTTCTGGCGGTCGTGGCTTACAGTAATCCGGGATCCGAATTTGTTGTCGGTCAGATTGTTGCAGATTATTGTGAGTTTTCGAGATCCTTCTTATGCAAAAATATAGAACATAAAATTTTACACATTTTGTTAGTTGCAATTTTTCTGATAGCTTTTATCGTTTTCGCGTTATGCGCCTTTAAGTTAAGGAGCATACAAGAGAAGATAGGTCAACTCTATCAAAAATGAACAAACTGCAAAAATGTAGAGCATAAAATTTTCCAAATTTCATTATAAATTTTTTTTTTGATATCTGTTACGGGTCGGGAGTATATAACGCTTTGAAGATAACGCTTCTTCTTTTAGACGCACAGAAACGAGAGCGCTCTCGCTTCTCTGCGTTTCTCCCTCGAAAGGAGCCGCGCTATCTTCAAACGCTCATAACTCTTGCCCTATAACAGCTAACATAAAATGTCCAACTAACAAAATATGTAAAACGTTATGTTTTACATTTTTGTAGTTATCAAATTTTTGATAGCTTGTTTGGTTTTGGAGATATGCGCCTTTAAAATAAGGGCACACAGACCGGAAGCTACCAGCAGCGCGCGCCAACTACAAAGGTGCATAACTCTTGACCCATAGCAGTTATTTTCAACATTGCAACAAATAAAATGTGTAAAATTCTTTGCTCTACATTTTCGTAGTTAACAACTTTTTACTATAACTTATCGTTTTTCAGATAACTGCACTTATCACTGGCCTAGTCTTCTTTCAAACCCCAATCACGCCAGCCACCATAATTTCGATTAATGGAATTATGTTCAATCATATTAGAAATATGAATTTCATGCTACAGTTTCCAAATGTGCCGGTGAGAGACTTTTAGGGAATTTTTGGCGCCAAAAAACGAAAATTCAAAATCCAAAAAAATTTAGGTCATCACCGCGGAACTTCCAATTGTTTTTCGAGAAAATGCTAATGGAGTTTATAGGACTAGTGCCTATTTTCTGGCAAAAAATTTCGCAGAATTACCCCAATACATTATTCTGCCGATTTTATACAACACAATTGTTTACTGGTTTTCTGGGCTCTTCCCGAATTTTTGGAATTTCTGTTTTGCGAGTTTAGTGACGATTTTGATCACGAATGTTGCTATTTCAATATGTAAGTCTTCTTTCAATATATTTTTTGGAAAATTCTAGAAAATTCTGAATCATACTAGAGATTCTTCCTAGCTTATTTTAGCTTATTTAAGCCTATTTTTTCAGCATACGCCGTCGCAACAATTTTCGCCAACACAGATGTCGCCATGACCGTACTTCCAATTTTCGTGGTCCCGATTATGGCATTCGGAGGATTTTTCATCACTTTCGATGCAATTCCATCATATTTTACATGGTTATCTTCGTTATCCTACTTTAAGTGAGTACTGTAGCTCAAAAGGGGGACCCAACTTTAAAGGCACACATCTTCAAAAATACGGTAGCTAGAAAAAAAAGATTCAATCGCAAAAATGTAGAACAAAAACGTTTACTCATTTTATAGGTTGAAACATTTTTGATAGCTATTACGGGTCGGGAGATATAGCGATTAAAAGTTGGCGCGCACGCTATTTGAGAGAAGGGTCAGTGCGCGGTACCTTTAAAGGCGCATAACTCAAAAACTACAGTAGCTAAAGAATGGATAAATTAAAAAAATATAGCGCATAAAATTATACACATTTTGTTAGTGGAAAACTTTTGAATTGCTCTTTTCGTTTTTGAAATATGCGCTTTTAAAGTTGGCACGCTGTTTTGAAAGACTGGAGCCCAATAGCGCGTTCACAAACTTTAAAGACGCATAGCTTTAAAACTATGGTAGCTAAAAAAGTGTTCTATTACAAAATTACTCACCTAAAAATTTTACATATTTATCAGTTAAAAACTTTTGGATAGCTATTACCTATTTTAAGTTATGCGCCTTTAAAGTTAGCACGCGTTCTAAACGAGATGAGAGAGAGGAAGGGCCTATTAGCGCGCACCAACTTTAAAAGAACCTAGCTCAAAAACTATGATACCTACTTAAACAGTGTGTACAATAAAAATGTAGAGCATAAAATGTGAAACATTTTGTTAGTGAAAAGTGTTTTGATAGCTAGTACCTATTTTAAGTTATGCGCCTTTAAAGTTGGCGAGCGCTCCAGGGTAGCAGCGTTGTGCTCGTTCTGGGTGCCAACATTTAAAAACGCTTCACAATCTCTAGAGCTATCAAAAAATAACTATGAAAATGGAGAGCATAAAATTTCACACATTTTGCCAGTTGAAAGTTTTTTGAAAGCTCTAGAAGCATCTAGAAGGGAGACACAGAGAAGCTAGAGCGCTCTCGCTTCTCTGCGTCTCATCCCTGCCTCATCTTCAAACGTCTCTATCTCGCGATCCGTAATAGCTATCAAAAGTTGAAAAACACCAAAATGTGTAAAATATGACACTCTACATTTTTGTAGTTGACAATTTTTTTCTAGATACTGTAGTTTTTGAGCTATCCTACTCTAAAATAGACCGCATTCTCAGATACGGCTACGAAGCATTGGCAATCAACGAATGGGAATCAGTTACAGTAATTCCTGAATGTCTAAACAGTACAGTAACGGCGTTTGCACTGAATGGATGTCCCAAAAATGGCTATGAAGTTTTGGAATCGGTAAGAAATCCTTAAAAATTCAAGTTTCTTTTTAATTTTCCAATTCTTTTTTCAGATCGATTTCTCAGCGTACCATAAGTGGTTCAACATCTCCATTCTTTTTGTAATGTTCATTGGAATTCGAATTATAGCTTTTGTGGCACTTTTGATTCGTTCTTATATGAATGCCTAATTAATAACCCCTTAATTGGGGGCAATTATGTTAATTATTGTTTTCTTTTGTTGCAATTTTTGAATAAATTATTTTATTAGCTTCAAAACGCACTATAAATCGAGTTTGTAGGTCGCTTATGAGGGGAGACAAAGACATGCAGAGCACTTTAGCTTCTCTGCGTCTCTCGGAAACTTCAAAGATGCATAACTCGCTTCAAAATTGAGCTAGAAATTTCAAACAAAAATTAAAATGTAGAAAATTTTAAGAGAATTAATTTGATATTAAATTAAATTACTTTTGAATATTGAAAATGTCGAAATCTGCCTCAAAACAAGACATATCTTATCTCGCTTTGAAATCGAGTCCGAAGCTTGCAGCTTAATCTAGCTTTCTGTCACAGATATATAAAAAAGCTTTCAACTGATAAAATGTTTTTCATAATATCGCAAACATTTTTCTAGTTAATTGATTTTTGATATCTCTCAAAGGAGCCAAGATAATTTAGCTCAGAATGCGAGCTCGATTTCGAAGTGAGGGGTTGTCATGTTTCAAAGAAGATTTCGCCTTTTTCGATATTCAAAAACAGTCAAATTTAAAACCAAACAAATGATCTTGAAATTTCCTACATTTCAGTTTTTGTTAGACATTTCTAGCTCAATTGAGAAGCGAGTTATGAGCCTTTAAAGACTTTGAGAGGCGCAGAGAAGTTAGAGTGTCTGCTTGTCTGCGTTTCCCTCTTATAGCTTGCTTCATTGACATCCTAGAAATTCGATTTATAGCGCATTTTGAAGCTAATGAAATGATTAATTCAAAAATTGCAAAAATATTAACAATACAAAAATTCGAAATATTGTTTTCCCTTGATCGGCCCTAGCTCGCAAAATAGAAGATGTCATGTTTCCACTGAAATTTCAAATTCTTTCGATTTTCGAAAACAATCAAATTAATAGTAAAAAGGAATCCTTTTGAAATTTTCTACATTTTAGTTTTTGTTTGACATCTCTAGCTCAATTTTGAAGTGAGTTATGCGCCTTTGAAGATTCTAAGAGGCGCAGAGAAGCTAGAGTGTCTGCTTGTCTTCGTCTCCCTCCTGTTCACCTCCAGCCAATTTCCGCTCATAACATGTCCATATTCATCATGTCTGTCTTCACCTCACCTACACACCTAAACCCATAATCCTAGCTGTTCCCTTTTCCTTTTCATCCTACTACTGTCCCCCTATACTTTAGTATATGACCAGACGGAGGGTCGAAAGGGGGGCAATTAAGTGTTCACTCTCTCCTACCTTCTCTCTCTCTCTCTCTCTCTCTCTCTCTCTCTCTCTCTCTCTCTTTCTCTCTCTCTCCCTTTTTTCCTGGTCGTCATGGTGCATTCGGAGCACCGGAACACCCGTGTGCTCCGCTTTTGGGCCGTTTTGAAGGAGCACCCACTTCATATTTTATATTTTTCATCTTCTTCTCTAGTTTTGAAGGATTTCTAGCATTTTTATTCTAGAAAATTAGAATTTCTGAGACGCCGATTTTCAAGATTAAAAGTTCAGAAATTTGAAACTTCTAAGAATTGCTACTTCTTTGAGTTTTTAGCAAAAAAAAAGCGAATATCATATTCTAAAAAAAAAAGCGAATATCATATAGCGAATATCATGTTCCGCAAAATGATATGTATTCTATAAAAATGATACCAGTATTTTTTTTCTTATCATTTCACACGAAATGTTGGGGAAGCCATGAAACCATTGCGTGTTAGTGGCAAATGAAAAACGGATACATTTCTAGAAAATCCGTTATCAATGTTTAAAGGCGCATAACTCAAAAACTACAGTAGCCAGAAAAAAGTAATCAACTACAAAAATGTGGAGCATAATATTTTACATATTTTTTTAGTTTACAACTTTTGGATAACTTTTTTATCTATCGAGTTATGCACCTTTAAAATTACAGTACCCTTTTCTGACAGAGGTGGTGGTGGAGAGACGCAGAGCAGCTAGACCGTCTCGTTTCTCGGCGTCTCTCTATTTTTTTAAACAATTTCACTTATTTTTTTCATTAAAAGTGTCTAATTTGAAAATAAATTTGAGCTCTAATCTCTTTTTGAATGTGCTAAAATAAAAAAAATAAAAGAAGCCATATCAAAAATCTTGGCTTACATGATTTTTCTAATTTTTTTTTTGGATTTGTTTATTGGTAACAACCCCCAAATCAAAAAATCCATTTGTTTTTAGATTAATTTTCCATTTTTCTCTAGTTTTTTGGCTACTTTCTTGACGTAGTATAAGCTTAATCCAATTAGATTAGCAGAATCCCTGAAACGAGCCAAAAAAGAAGAGCCCCTCTAACTTTGAGCCAATTTATCTCGCCTCCTGTGAAAAGTATTAAAAAGTGGTCAACTGATAAAATGTTTGTCGTAATATGATAAACATTTTATCAGTTGATCACTTTTTGCTATCTTTTACAGGAATTGAGATAAATCAGCTCAAATATAGTAAGTCGGCGCGTGCCAGCTGAGCTACACGCTCGGCTTTCTCATATCTTTTACAGGTACCGAGATAAATTGGCTCAAAGTTGACTTAGCTTCTCTTCGTTTCTCCACCACCGCCTTCCTCTTGTGGAAAAAGGGGGAAGGGGTACTGTAACTTTAAAGGCTCATACCTCAAAAACTAGAATAGCTATCAAAAAGTTGTTAACTAACAAAATATGTAAAATATTATGCTTCACACTTTTGTAGTTAAATACTTTTTTCTAGCTATTGTAGTTTTTGAGTTATGCGCCTTTAAACATTGATTACGGATTGGGACATTTTATGTTCTATATTTTTGTAGTTTACCATTTCTTTCTAGCTACTGTAGTTTGGGAGCTGTGCGCTTTTGAAGTTAGCGCGCAAGACTTCTCTGCCACCGCTCTCTCAAAAGCACGCGCCAACTTTAAAGGCGCATATCTCTGCCGCTAGAATAGCTACCAAAAAGTAGTTAACTAACAAAATGTTTAAAATTTTATGTTTCATATTTTTGTAGGTTATCACTTCTTTCTAGCTACTGTAGTTTTTGAGCTGTGCGCCTTTAAAAATAGCTAACTTTTTTTGTGCTCTTCATTCTGCAATATTTCTTCTTCTTGCTCTTATTTCTCCTGCCAAAAAAGTGTTCTTCTTCTTCTTCTTCTTCTTCCTCCTACATATTCTTCCTCTTTTATTCAAAAATTCAGAGTATCCTCTTTTTGCAAAAAGGTGTGTACAACATCCGTCGGCGCACTTTTAGTACATATTCCTCTTCTTCTTCTCCATATTTACATTAAT